GATCACCATTGCCTGTTCGGGGATACCTACCAACATTTTTTTCCCTTGCATGCCATCTGTATTGCCCTTACACAACAGTCACGAGATGCGCATATAGATCCACTTTCTTCCCTATCTCCATTAAGGTGGGGAACTTCATCTTCAGATGGTATATCGAGGTGACTGCCTTGAAGTTTCATAGTAGAGGTCGTCCCAATATTCCATTGAAAGCGGACGGACAATCTACCGCTAAAAACTCAGTCATCTTGGTCATTTTGTTGGTTTCTCCCAACGTGACTGGGAGCAAGATCATCCCCTTGGGGATCAAATGATCTATGGTGAAACCGTATAGAAGGATGGAGGCAGCTTCAGATCTGTCTTGTCCAGTTTCATGTTCTTGAAGGTTGCTGAAATAAGATATTCATGGCACTTCCATTGTACACCAACATCCTGTGGACTTTGTACCGACCTATTTCAGGTGTGATGACGAAAGCATCATCGTGGGGATGATGCAATTGCACCGCATCTTTCTCGAAGAAGGTGATTTCTTCCTCTCTGCGAACCTTGGCGAGTTGTGGCATCATGCTCATGACACTTATGGGGTCATGACGGGCTTCCCGAGCATACCTTTCCTGGGCACCTTGAGAATTCCCCGTAAGGTGTAGTCCCCCAAAGATGATCCCCACACTGTAGAGACCTTTGTGACCACGACGCTTCTTCCCTTGTTCTTCTTGATTTTCTCATGAATGGGAGCTGAGTCATCGACAAATTCTTTGAAGTGCCCCTGTTTAATGAGGTCCTCAATTGCCTGCTTGAGGGCCCAACACTCATCGGTGTGGTGCCCATTATCTTGATGATAATGACAGTACTTTTTATTGTTTCTGGTTGAGGGGGATTCTTTATGGGCTCAGGCTCTCCGAGCAAATCGGCCTCCTCTGATTTATCCAGAATAGCCGATATCGAGGCATTCAGGGAAGTATACTAACTCTTGTCATGATCACAATGAGGAACTAGGGCATAAGTTTTCTTGGGCTCGTACCACTACTTCTTTTCTTTTTGTTGATCATCAGTAGCCCATCTGCGATCAGCCTTCCTATTCTTCCCTCGGTTGGGAGCACTGCCTGAAGGACCAAGGTCGTGGCGATTGTGAGCAGCCACAGAATTTTCAAAGCGGAGGTACTTTTCAGTAAGGTTATAGAAGTGAGTGAGGGAAACATCATCCTTATATTGCAGTTCCTTCCACAAGTTTGTATGTGGGCGAACTCCTGCAATGATGAGAGTCCAAACAGACTCTTCGAGATGAGCCACTTTGTGGAGCTCCCTGTGGAAACTGTCTATATAAGATTGGAAGGGTTCACCCCTCTCCTACCGTACATTGCTCAGGTAGGTTAGCGGCATTGAGAACTTCCTGTTCGCCTAGAAGTGCCTAAAAAACGTCGAGCTCATTTGAGGCCATAAGTCGACTGATCCTGTCAAAGCGACCTAAACTAGCACTTGGCATAAGTGGTAAGGGTTACTACCGGGCAACGACATTTTGCTAAGTTTGAGACTTGGTGGAGTTCCATGAGGTCGTTGAACTCGTATATCATAATTCTCGTTGAATGCTTGCATGTCGAGCGTTCTGAATCTCGATGGGAGAGGGGCAACTAACACTGTCAGAGAAAAGGGAGACGCCTCTATGACCTGCCTTTGCTCATTCTGCTGAGCTTTAAGCTGATCTAGAGCTTGCTGTAGTTCCTCAATCTGAGGCAGTGGAGCTACCTAGGGATCACTTTCCGCAATGTCGGTTCAACCCTCATGGTTACTGTTAAGGAAAGACTGCAAGTCGGACTCTTCCTTGTTAGGAAACGACCCGTTAACGTAGCGGAAAAACAAAACGATAATAACAAGGATCGTTTCCATTGAGCCTAGATCAAAGGTACAATTTTTATAGTTTATATAAATACAAGAATCTACAGAAATTAAACATGAGTTTAGAAAAACATACGCACGTTTGGAGGCTCCTCCAAAATAGTCTTTGTACGTATTTGCTACTGACCCAAGCGTAGGATCGAACTTATGAAGTCCACACGAAGACAATCACAAAGAACCAAAAAGAGATTTGCTAGATCCTCTTTGACTTTAAGATTAAGAAAAAAAAAAAGTCAATGAAATTGATTTTTTTTAGGCAAAATGAATATGCCGTGGGAGAGTGTTTAAGGGGCTGCTGTATGTGTGTTTTTCAAAGAGAAACAAAATTCTATTTTTAATTAACACATACCTTTTCTTTTTATAGTAAATTAAGTTGCCCTATTCCTAGTGGAATAGGCTTAGGCTCCAACCCAAACACCCCATGTTACCAAACACTCCCTAATTAGATATTTTATTTATTTCACCATTATCTCAATTAAACTCAATTAATATATATTTAATCTATATATTAACATTTAACAATAATGATGATTTAACATTTAACAATAATGATGATTTAATTAAATATATGCGAACACATATTTAAACGTAATTTCACTTATTTAAATTTTTTAATTAAATAAAGGCTACGACCTCAGCAAATTTAATTGCATTGTGAAATTACCAAAATACCCATTCACCTAAAAAGACAAAAATGCCCTTCTTTCTTCCTGAGTCTTAAATTATCTTCTATGTGTGTGACCCATAGGCTCTTCATCATACCGGCAATGTGTAGTATCTCAATTAACACCAATTAATCATCTCACTAATACACAGACCAAGATTGGCCCCTAGGAAGGCATCATGGCCACCCGATAGATTCAGATTCAGCAAAGTAGCTACCTGTCAATGATATGGTTACCGTGCAATTCGATCCTTTCATCATATGTTATCTCGACGAGACAAAGGCATAGAAATAGTGTCAACTTTTGGTTACTCTCGATATTATGTATTCAGTTTCTGGACCAATGACCCGTATTATAAACTGGATAGAGTAACAACTCAATCCCACTGTGGCCACAGTTTTAGTGTCATTACCATATACTGAATTGTGCCGTGAGATAACTTCTCTCGTACCTGGGAGTGATGAATCCTCCGTCAATCCACCATAGTCTTGATACACTCCTTGATGCAGCCAATCACCACCGTATTGACCACTCTGAAAAGAACTGCGTTAGGCTAGTGTCAAACTACACCAATCGGTGCACAAGGTGCTCCGGTGATCTCAAGTCTAAGGATCACATGCACCACCATTCGTTAGAGGATTTGTTCCATAGACACTGGGATTACCATCCATATGGAATCCTCTGGTGGGTCAATCCAATGAACTTGCTGCGGTGTAATCGCCTATAGCAAGCACCCATGTGTTGCACCAAGTTGTCACCAAACAACCTTGACAAATGAGATCAGTCACTGCCTTTCGACAGGGTCGTTCAACACTATAATAACCTTACCGTATTATCTGTGCCCTTACTTCAGAATAATACTGGGGCTACGGACGTTTCTAGAATGGCCACCATATGTGCTCATAGGGTTCTCACTATCAAGATTTGAAACACTTGATACCCTCGTCACGGTTCTACCATTCTAAGGACATATATCAATACATATTGCAATAATTATGATTTACGCAATATAGAATAAAAGGCCTTTTATTATTGATTAATGAACATTATTACAAAAAGTCAATTCTACAATAATTGATTGGCTCTAGGGCATCTACTCTAACATTCCTCATCTTGGCCGGGAGCCCAAGCCAATCTTGACACACATTGGCTGGAGCCGTGTGATAGCATTGAGCGATTTGGGGAGTCTTCCCGACCTCCGTGGTGGTACAAACTGACCCACTGATGATGGGAATCTCCTCGCCTTGCACCTTTAAAGGCGTGCCCATATGACATGGCGTGGGATAGCTCATGTTACGACATATCGCTAAGTCGCAATGCCACGTGTAATTTACCCGAGGCACGATCGGTGTTCAATAATCCCTTAGAGCCTTTGGGTCCATTGTGTGCCACTTGCTTTCCCTTTCTCTTACGCGCTGCAATGCGTGCAGCATGGGCTTTCACCATTTTTTGTGCTTTCACATGACCTGCAGGCGTTTTTGTCGATGTCATTGCCTCATTGGATTTAGGTGGCATGACCTGATCTAATCGGTCTAGCCTTCGGCTGACCGTTTAAAGAGTATTATTTAACCTCTCTAGGTAACTCATGATGGTTGGGTCGGGCTATGAGCTTGAAGGAATATCCCCTACGATATTCTGTTGGACTGGTGGCACTTCAAGAGAAGTGTCCTCTTATACCTGGCAAATTGCTTCATTACCATGACTGGTTCACTCAGATTCGAAGTCGCCGGCCATTTGTTGTTATAGGACCGATTTGTCAGAGATTTCTCTAATGGAGAGTAGGTACTAAATCAGTGCCCTCCTTCTAGCACCAAACTATTGATACTGGATTTTGACACTAACTACTTGCATGTGTATAATGCTAAATAGACTTAGAAGTCACACGTGATTAGAAGAGTTCGAATTAAATGAAAAGGCGAAGAGCAATGTTTAAAGTGGTTCGAATGCTCAAAAGAGAATCCTACGTCCACTGCTATTGTGTTAATAAGAGAGAAATCAGGTCGCGTTTAGCAAGCTAAGTTACAGTTTGAATGAGAATACAAGAGAGAGAGAGAGAGAGAGAGAGAGAGAGAGAGAGAGAGTTATTTAAGCATAAAATTGGCTAATCCCTTAAAATGAGAGGGAAGTCCTCTATTTATAGTGAAAGAGTTCAAGATAATGATTATGAAAGCTATAAGTGGGTAGGGGCCGTGCAAATCCTTCTCTGTGTCCCATTGGTCACCTGCTTGAGGGATTTCCTCGACTAAAACAGGGTTTTGACATGTGGGCGATCTCCAGCCGCTTGCTGGCCTAGTGCCCACCCGCTACACTGACAGGAACCATGCCACTTGTGCTGGGTGTGACGTGGTCGCACCTGGATAGCCTTTTGAGCTCTGACCATAATTTACTAACGAGGCTCTATGTCAGTCCCACCTTTTCAGGCATAACAAGTTTGGTACTATTCACATGGCAGTAGCAATTGGCCACAACGAGATAGTCCGAGAGCTTTTGAAAGTCAGTAATGAAGTTTGCAATATCAAAGGAATGAATGGAATGACTCCTCTTTATTGTGCTTGCACCAAAGGGAGGGTTGAGACAATTAGTCATCTTCTTGCGGTTTCTTGTACCACTATTTTAGAGGTAACCATAAGAGGCGAAACTGCTCTTCATCTTGCTGTGAAAAACAACCAGTTTCAGGCTCTTGAAACTTTGTGGAATGGTTAAAGGAAAACAATAAACTAGAAATACTAAACTTGAAGGATGAGGAAGGAAATGCCATTCTTGACCTAGCTGCCGCTAGAAGAAATCGTCAGGCAAGTTTTTAGAAATATCAATAAGATTCATATGTGTTTCATTATTTCATTATTATTATAATATAACAATACTTTGTTTTTGCATGATGTGAACAGATGTTGGAATTATTATTGAAGTGCAACATTACAAATCATGAGGTGTTGCAAGTAAATGGTAAGAGCCAGAGTGGCCTAACTATATTTGATCTTCTACTTTTCCCATGTGAAACTAGCTATGGTGACATTGAAATGGTCCTCATATATGCTGTTGCAGAGAGCTCTACAAGTTCCCACCAAGTTGAAATTCAAGTTCTGGTCCAATCTGAACAACCAGTACTTGAAAATAATATGTCACCAACGCCAAGAAATTTGTCTTGAGAAGAAATAATGAACTGAGAAGAAGACTTCAAATTTGAATGGGACGGAAGTGACTAGAATCGAGTAAGATCTGATTTATTAGTGGTAGTTGTATTAATGGCAACTGCGACTTACCAGGCTATCCTAAGTCCTCCAGGTGGAATTAGTGATGAAGATGGTAAAAAGGTCAAGCAATTTTAGCTTCTCATGGTATCGTTGCTTTCACTTGGTTCATGTTCTTCAATAATGCTGGGTTTTTTACATCCTTGCACACCATCATGGTACTCACTAGCAATTATCCTTTGTTTTGGGAGGTGTATGTAGCCTTATTTGCGATGGCGATTACTTATGATAGTGCAATGATATCAATGGAACCTGCCACAACAGCCTCTGTAGGGTTTGCATTGGCTTTTTCGGTCCCCTCGAGGCCAAAAACACCCACTCCCTAATGTCGTCGAAGCCCATATTCCCCAAATTGGCAGCCTATTTGTTGTTTTGGTTTCTTTTTTTTTGTTGATATTTAGTTTATATTGATTGTGCAGATTTTTCAAAGCGTAAATTATAAAGACTATAGGTTGGAGGTTATAAGCAATAAGGTACCATACTTTCCCATAAGGGTGACAGTTAGGTCGAGTTGGCAAGTTTTTAGAGAATAATAGAGATTTTACAAGAATAAAAGAAGGGTATGGACCGATTCAAAGAGAGTTGTTTTGGTCATTTTGTGAACATTGGAGAAAATTGGAAAAAAGCGTTCTGGGGGCAAGACTGCTTATATGTGGTTGCACTCAGTTAAAAGCCAAAAACAATTAAATGTGGTTCGTGGTGGATGGAAGCCACTACGTTTTGGGTGATGGAATATCCTTAATGATAGGCTTAAGATGTGGGGCATTCCAGATGCGGAGGCAAGAGAGAATAAAAAGAGTAGGGTAGCCGATAACTTGGCTAAAAAGGTTTTTGGGGGAGGGGGGGGGGGGGGGGGGGGGGGGGGGGGGGGGGGGGGGGGTGGGGGTGGGGGGGGGGGGGGGGGGGGGGGGGGGGGGGGGGGGGGGGGGGGGGGGGGGGGGGGGGTGGGGGGAGGGGGGGGTGGGGTGGGGGGGGGGGGGTGGGGGGGGGGGGGGGGGGGGGGGGGGTGGCGGAAGGCGTCTATTACAGGACGCGATTTAGAGGAGAGGTTAGGAGAAGGTGGGTATACCTCTTCAGAGAGGTTCAAGATGTGTTTGGTATGGTTCGTACATTCGATCCTAATGACTTCTTACTCAACAAAAGCAATTAATATGGATTGGGTGAAGTTTGCAAGCAGCATGGACTTCTTTAATGCTTTATCCATGGGGACAGGTATCATTTCAGCTAACCATGGACTCCCTGTAAGGAAAAAGACATGACGTTAAAGCATTGCCAATTTGTCGGGAAGGATAGGCCGAGCACATACAATTTGTTTGGCTTTCCATGGGCAATGCAAGTAAATATTAATAGTTTTTTGTTATATTTTTTTGTATGTGTTTTAATTATGATATAGACTATTTTTTTACAATGTAGGCTTGGATGTATGAGGCTGCCCTTATCCTAGCTAAGGCGGTGGGGGGGAAAGAAGACTTTAGATGAGTGATCGCAATTTTCTAGGATGTTGCAGTGGCACATCGAGAAGTGTACCCATTGGGATTATGACAAAATAGACATGAAAATTCAAATGGCTCGAGTAAGATTAAAGGATTAATCTTTTGAATATGCACTAGCTTTTAAATGTGGCTTAAATTTGATTTTTTTTTTCTTATTGCAGGGAGTCGTCCGTCCCTTCCTCACCGCTACTAGGGGTGAAGTGGGAGAGGAGTATGTTACATAGTTCAAAGCACTGGATGATGCAGCAGATGAAGGGATAGATAGCTTAATGCGGGACCTAGAAGGGGTCACGCATGTGAGTGCAGTTGCAGGGCCACTGCTTGAGAATGTGCTATTTTAGCACTAAGGAAGTTGTGCGTGAATCTACTACCAATGAGCACCTCTAATTCGTGATGGCCAATTTGAGCCTTAAGCCGCATGGTGCGAGGGATGGACTAACCGATGAGCGTGTGTAAAGAAATTTTTGGTTCGATCAGATCTGTATGCTGGTTCTCTATCGAATTTTCATCCACAACCTCTTCACACACAATCTCGTTGGTTTCGGTGTGGCTCTCCAGCAATAACAGTTGAGGTCCTTGGCACCTATGTCTTGCAGTAAACTTGTCATTACAATTAAAACAAAGTCCTTGTACACGTTTTCTTTGCATCTCATCCTAAGTCAATCTCTTTACAGGTGAAGCTTTTGTTGGTGTTGGTAGAACTGACGGGGTGCGAGTAAGTAGTGGTTGGTGTGAGATCCTCCTTTGCCGCTGTAGTTGTTCGTCCTTCATGCGAGCCAAGCTTATCACCTCCTTCAAGGTTTTAGGCTTAAACATATGAATTGCTTCTGAAGTTTCGGATCGCAAAGCACTCATGAACGATCCTACGAGCGCCTTCTGTGACCAACAGTAAACCCGATTACCTAGCCTCTCGAACTTTTCTTGGTAATCGCGAAGGGATCCGACTTGTCAAACTTTGGATAGGGCTTCATCAAAATCTTCACCCTCTGTAGGTCCAAAACGAGCCCACAGTTCCTCCTCAAATGATTCCCATGTAACCAAGCGACCTTCCTCCTGGTAAGCTCGACGCAACCATTGCCACCATTGGTTGGCTTCTCCTTCAAGGTGGAAAGATGCTAAAGATACCTTTTGGTTGTCTATTGTGCTTTGAAATTCAAAGAATTGAGGTACTCGGTTGAACCATTCAGTCGGGTCATCTCCGGAGTATCTCGGAAATTCTAACTTTGCCATTTTGGAAGAGAAAACCTATCTCAGCTTGTTGATGGTTTCCTCCAAACGATGCGGCTTATTAGTTATGCCTAACTCCAATCGTTGCATTCCATCTTGAACTCCACCGAGTCTGGCCCCCAAAGCCTCGATCCTCTCTTTGTTGGACGCCATTGTAACCTGGCTCAGATACCGCTGATACGTCCCAGTCAAGGATTTGTGTACTACAGCAATTAATTACAAGTATTCTCTTCGGGTGAGAACAGACCACACAAAGAAATTGGGTTAAAATATCTGATATCCTTTATTGATGTCCATGAGCAATAAATACAAATAAATCTAACAAACTTTCAGCATATGTTGTGGAAGCTAAAGGTCCTTAACACCATAATGAAATAAATTCAAATAACAAAGGGGAAAGCGAAAATCAATGCAACAACTTTTATTTCTTCTACCACTACTTATGACTCGTTTCTGCACGTGGTTGTTAATCCCTCCTAAATTCCTTGGCCAGGAGAGAATAGAAGCTTGACTATGCGTACGTGTTTTCATGCATATGATATTTTGGATTTCTTTTGATGACACGTTGCAAACATCGTGGCCCATCCAAAGTCTCATCACACATTTCTCATTAAAAAAAGAAATCTTAAATTAATCAAAGAAACACATGTACTGAAATATTTAATGTGTATTGTTCAAAAGCGCTGCGGATGAAGAAGCACCAGAAGATGATGTCAACTGTGAGGAATTTGTGTTGTGATTAGAACTGAAGATTGGTTAAGGTTTTGACCTCCTTCTGAATAAATGGCCCCATACGAAATCGAAAGTACAGATATGGGCATATTTCCTGAAGGTGCTAAATACGTTGGCACAGGCATCTTTGGTGGAAGAGCCGGCAATGGAGCTTCAGAATTAAGCACATGAATGGCCTGCCTTATTGAAGGCCTGAGATTTTCATCTGGGTGAGCACACCACACCCCAACTATCATCAACACTTTCATCTGTTGCTCATCAAAATCTTCACTTAGTCTTGGATCTGCAGCTTCAAGAAGTTTTCCGCTTCCATACAGTTCCCAAACCCACTGCGCCATATGGACTTGACCTTCTTTTGCCATAGGGTTTATTGGTTTCCTCCCACAAGCTAATTCCAAAGCAACAACTCCGAAACTGAATACATCTGATTCTTTGCTAGCCTTGCCTGTTATAATACATTCAGGAGCCATGTAGCCCATTGTTCCTGCCAAAACTGTGGTTTGTGACCCTTTCGAGTGTTCTACAAGCCTAGCTAATCCGAAATCTCCAATCTTAGCCTTGAAATTTGAGTTCAACGTAACGTTGCTTGATTTAATATCTCGGTGGACAACGCACTGTTCCCATTCTTCATGCAAATATAGCAATCCTGAGGCCAAGTCCTTAGCGATTTTGTACCTCATCTCCCATTTCAATAAGCAGTTTTCTTTGAAAAGATGGGAGTCTAAGCTGCCATTAGGCATGAATTCATAAACAAGGAGGAGTTCCTTCTTCTCATGGCACCAACCCAGAAGTTGCACCAAATTTCTATGCCTCAATCTACTAATAATTTTTACTTCTGACACATACTCCTTTACCCCTTGTTTAGACCCTTTTGAAACCCTCTTAACTGCAATATAAGAATTTGATTCCCTCAAAAATCCTTTATAAACCCCGCCAAAGCCTCCTTGTTGGTTTCAGCCGGAGATAACAAGAGAAAATAAAAACAGAGCACCGTAAAAGTTTTCCAAAAGAAGCTTATCATATTCATTGAAGAAAGACAGTATATAACACTTAACAACTCTCTGCTAATTACACCAACTACAGCAGATATTACAGCTTTCAAAATTCAAATTTCATCACACATATTACTTCTAATACACTTTACTTAAATACCCTTAATTTTCTAAATGAGTTATTACACAAAAACACTCCCATGCACGTTAAGAACACTGCTGCATGTAACCGTCTGCATCTTCCAAACACAAACTTGCAGACTTGAGCATTTGAAACATTTCCAGCAAAGCATCACTACATCAACACTCCTTCACCTAACTTGTGTTCATCGTTGAAATTATTTGTTGCGCCGGCCAATTCCTTGAACGAAAACCTCTTGGGTCCGGTTCCCTTTTCAATTTCATCATCCATATACTCGCTGAACCCATGTCTATCTACATCAGCGTCACCGTGTCTCTTCCTACGTATGACAGCAAGCCAAACCAAAAGCAACCCTCCAACTAAAAAAGCTCCACTTATACTCAATCCCACTGCGAGTCCTGCTCTACTTATTCTTCTTCTGCTTTCTCTCTCGACGATAGGAGTCGAGTTATCACTTGGTGGTGTCGATTTGCAGCTTCTAAGCTTGAATTAAATTCCCAAGAGTAAACGCTAAATATTGCATATCGGCTTCCTGTTGCTGCTGAGAAGCCAAAAGTGACCAACTCAGGTAAATAAAGCCTCAAATCTATTTCATAATCGAGGTACTGCATCACTGTGACATTATTTCTAAAGCCAGTGAAGGCAACACTCAGATTTTGTGTACTAGAATTGTAACTGATCCATGCTTCATTTCTCTGTCCACCCTCGACGCTACTCCACCACGAAACATTGGTGCTTGATCTCATTGAGCTGATATCAATGCCTACATGATCACTTGACGGAATCGGATCCCAACCAATATTGTAGAAGATGTCGAATTCCACTGCAACAAACGGATTAGATGTGGAATTTAGAGGCTCGTCATCTTTTGTATGACCGAAAGAGCCTCCACCTTTAACTGTAGGAATTATCGAACCTCCAGGGGCAAGGAAGAACGCCAATCCATCTCCGTATGAAGTTCTGTTTTGAGAATCAATAACAAAAGAGAAATGGGTGGTGAAATCTGTGAGTTTTCTCGTCGTTTTGTCCCAAAGCGGCAGGGCTTTACTATAAGTGGTGAACGAAATAGAGAAGCAACAGGAACAAAATAATAATAGTTAAACAAAACAAACAGTAAACAAAGAAAGTAATACGCGTGATTTACCCTGGTTCACCCAATGTAGGCTACGTCCAGCTGAGTCAATATTATTGCAATATGCCTCATTTCTCTCGTTTACAATGAATGAATTGTTCTCACACCCATAACAAGAGAAAAGTATGTTTATATACTAGGTTTAAGGGATTAAACCTAGTTTTACAAGAATTCCTATTCCTAAGCCCAACCCAAAAAGGAATTAATAACTTAAAAGGAATCCTACAGCGGTTATACATGGAAAAGCCCAAAACCGCCTACGGGCTCGGGGGCGCTGCCCCTGCGACCCCCGCCCGCTGACCGGACAGCGGGACCCCCGAGTGCGTCTCCGTTACCCATTAATGCTAAAGTAGTCGACAACTCCAACAAGTGGCACGACCAGTCATGTCCGTTCTTGAGACTAGTTGAATGGTACCGTTTTGGTCAGGATAATCTCTCTCATACTTCATGTTATCGCCATACAAGGGATCGAATTTAGAATAGTTGAGGGATAAAGAACTTGCGAATGGGATCACGAGAGAGAATATATAGTGATGATGATGAAATGGAGAAGAAGAGGCTGGTTAGTGCTGCAGCTGACGGCCATTTTTTTGAGGAAGGAGAAGGGTTTCGAAGATTCAAGAGATGTTCATTAAAATAACAATATAGGTGAGGAATAAGAAGTCTTCAACTGGTGTGGCACTCATTGGTTTCAGTATTTCACAGGCAGCTTCGTTTTACTCAGTCAACTTGACCAGATTCTTTCAACGGTTGTGATGGAGTGAACGGTGAACCCAATATTAATATTATTTAATAAAAGAAACTTGTATCGTTTCATAATTGGACTTTTGTGGAGGCTAGAATAGAAGTACTTGTATCAGAAAAATTTATTTATCTATTAGTTAAGGAGGACCCAACTGGGAGTAGTATAGCCAAGTTAAACTCAGATTTCTGATAATTTTACAAATCTTGAAAGAAGGTTGAATTTAATAATTCCGAGGAATTCCGAGGAAATTAGTTAAGGTTTTGTTATTACATATCTGAGACATTTATATTCAATTCATTGTTGTTAAAAATTTCTAGAGAAATGTCATCTGCTGACAAATAAAAAATGAGGCTTAAAACAATGATTTCTGTTGTTGAGTTTACTTGAGTTCTTATTTTTTTATTTTTTTATTTTTGGACATGCAATTATGCACATTAAGATGGGTTAAACCATGTTTGTAATTTTATTATATGGGCTTATTCATTAATTGTTTAAAATTGCTTTGTACTGCAATGGCCGGCCCACGCATAATTTATAAGAGTCGTAACAGTATATATCTATTTCAGAGCAAGAATATTAAGAAAAAAGAGAGAATTTTTTTTATTAGTGGCTGTGCCAAATGGAAGCGCCATGCCTCTATCCTGAGTAACGAGTGGACGGTCAAAAGAGACAGCAAAATTTGTTGTTGCGATGATAGTCAATAGAACGTTAAAAATAATTATAATAAGTTGACTTAAAGCCCCATGAAGCAAAGGTTAATTGTTAATTGGCCTTGAGACATGCGAGTGCTACAGGTAACATCTGGACATATATATACCACATTAGGTTTACTATTTTATACTGTTTTTATCGGTTCGGTTTACATGTAAAGATTTAAAAAGAGTATAATTACGTATAATATTGCTGGAAGCAGGTTATATATCATACAATTGAAAGATTTCTCTTCAGATTTGAGTTCACTGATAACAAGTACAGTACATTATCAATCATAACTTTAATATAAATATATTAGAGTAAACGATGTATTCCCACCCAAAGTTTAGCGAAATCCAAGATTTGTATTCCTGATTTTATAAATTCTAAATTACGACCCTTAAATGGACGTCTTTAGTGACAGATGGCATCTAACATAGAAGTAGAGGTGCTTTTACAAAACTGCCCTTGGACTCTCTTATTCACTATCACCAACACTTCCCCTTTGCACGTTTTCCCCCACATTACCCACTACACCGAGCCCCCCGACACTTCCATCAGATTCCCCACATCACCCACTCCAAAACACCTAACATTCCTTCCCTAGTGCACCCTTAAATCATTGCCCAACGACCACTACCCCTTTGCACATTTTCCCCTTTTTTAGGCCAAATTTCAGTCAATTTTGACACCGGAAACCACCACTAACACCACCACTCAAACCCTCATCCTCTCTGTGAGCTTTTGAGCAAAAACAGAGAAAAAGAATCAAGAAAAGAGTTTTTGGAAATCTGTATGTATTGAGCTTAGAAGAGAATACACATGTTTAGTAACACTTTTATAGTGTTTTTATAACTAGACAGTAACTAACTAATCACTTGCTCTAACTATAGTAACAAACTACTTAACAGAAACAGTAATTAAGCACTAACGGCTTATCTAACCATTCACCCTTTACTAACATCTTCCCTCAAACAAGACTGGGATTTGATATTCTGACCTTTACTAACATCTTTCCTCAAACATGACTTTACTAGACCTTATAATGCTCATAAATTTATCTTCTTTACAGGACAATTCAAGCATTAAAGTGATTACTGAACCAGTCAATTTTGCAAATTCGCAGTCAATATATTCTTCATCTCTTCATGTTATTTTCCCGAAATTGACTAGGGAAAACTATAGATTTTGGAAGTTACAAGTTCTTTTTGCGGTTGGCTCTCATGATTCAGAGGAACATCTCACTGGATTGATTGCATGTTTAGCTCCTTTCGTCAAAGTTTAAGTTGAAGGATTTGACGAGATGACCGAAAAAAAACCTAATCCTTAATACAACTTGTGGAAGAAGACTGATAAGCTGTTAGTAAGCTAGCTTCTTAGCTCAATTTCTAAATCCATGTTCATAGTAATCTCTAAATGTCAGTATTTTGCCGATATAGAAGATGGAAAAATTTTCATTTAATAGATACGTAAGCAAAAACTATTAAATTTAATCTCATATTTATAAGAATTAAATCATAACTGAAACTTAATTATTAAATATAGATTTTTTAAACCTTGATATATAAGCAAAAACTATAAAATTTAATCTCATATTTATAATAATTAATCATAACTGAAACTTAATTATTAAATATAGATTTTCTAAACCTTGATCCAAGAATTTAGAAAGATATTTTTAGGCCTAGTTTAGGATTGTTGCGGATAAAGAACTAATCACATATTTTAGGATTCAAAAGATACTTTTAATTGGAGATTCAATTTGACTCTTGTTTAAACTTGCAAGTTAAACTCTATTATTTTAATACTTAAGAGAACACCCGAAACAAAAAAGAGAAAAAAAAAAAAAAAAAAACAACTAAATGAATGTATAGTTCAAGTTTTGCCCAAAAAAAAGAAAAAATATAGATACTTAAATTTAACCAAGGCAAAATAAGAGACACTGTAGAAATTAGAATTTTCAAACTTTTGGGAGTTTTCATTTTTCTCCGTGATAATCAAATGATACGTCCGCGTGACTAATAGGATAGAATTGACTCCACTATAGATTCTAAATTTGAAAAAAATTTGATGTTGTTTGAATTCCTTTGCACAGCTTTAAAATTCTAGGTACGTTCAACTTCGAGAGCTACCCTATTCATCCAACTCCATGAAGAAATTTTAAACTTTCTGCAGTGGGAGATGAAGAAATTTTTGTTTTCTTGGCGTATTCAGCTACCTAATTTTGCTCCCTCTTCTCACAGGACCCACACGTCATGTTAGTTGAAGAATTGACTAATAGATGTTTGTGTGATTATTAGTATTTTGATTATTATTTTTGAAAACAAAAAAAAAAAAAAAAAATGGATTCCTCAATGTTTGTGGCTGCTAAAGAAGGAAACACTCAACTTCTTCTTCAACTTCTCCATGATGATCCTCTTATCCTAGAGCGTGTAACAACTAGTAGCAGTGACACTCCTTTGCACGTTGCAGCCATGTTTGGGCACTCTGATTTTGTAAAGGAAATCATCAAACACAAAAGTAATGCAGGGGAATATGTAAAGGAATTAAACCAAAATGGTTTTGGTGCAACTCACATGGCGGCAGCAAACGGCCATAACGAGACAGTCCTAGAGCTTTTGAAAGTCAATAATGAACTTGGCAATCTCAAGGGAAAGGATGGAATGACTCCTCTTCATTGTGCTTGTACCAAATGAAGGGTTGAGACAATTACTTACCTTCTAGCAGTTTCTTGCATCTCTATTTTGGAGGTAACCATAAGAGGCGAAACTGTTCTTCATGTAGCAGTGAAAAACAACCAGTTTCAAGCCCTTGAAACCTTGATGGAATGGTTAAAGAACAACAATCAACTGGAAATAATAAACTTGATGGATGAGGATGGAAACACCATCCTCCACCTAGCTGCCGCTACAAGAAATCGTCAGGTAAGATTTTTAGAAATATTAATAAGATCCATATGTGTTTCGTTGTTGCATTACTATTATTATTTAATTATAATATAACAATACTTTGTGTTTGCACGATGTGAACAGATGTTAGAATTATTGTTGAAGTGCAACGTTACAAATCCTGGGATGTTGAAAACAAATGCTAAGAACAAAAGGGGCCTAACTGTATTTGATCTTGTTCTATTTTTCCCATGTGAAACTGGCTATGCTGACATTGAAATGGTCCTCCAATACGCTGCTGCAAGTTCCCACCAAGCTGAAACTCAAGTCTCGGTCCAATCTGAACATCCAGTACTTGATAATAATATGTCACCAACGCCAAGAAATTTGTCTCCAGAAGAAGTACTGGACTGGGAAGAATACTTCAAATTCGAATGGGAAGGAAGTGAGCGGAATCGAGTAAGATCTGATTTATTAGTGGTAGCTGTATTAATGGCATCTGCGACTTACCAGGCTGTCCTAAGTCCTCCAGGTGGAATTAGTGAAAAAAATGGTCTAGCAAATTTAGCTTCTCATGATGCTATAACTTTCATTTGGTTCATGTTATCCAATAGTGCAGGGTTTTTCATTTCCTTGATTACCATCGGGATACTCACCAATAATTATCCTTTGTTTTGGGAGTTGTATGTTGCTATACTTGCGATGGCAGTCACCTATGACAGTGCAATGATATCAATTTCCCCACCTGGACGTATCCGGCTGTTCTTCGTTTGCCTTTCCATTGTAATGCCCATATCCATACCCTTTTTAAGTTATAAAATAAGAAAATGGTACAAAGGGAGACTTGGACCATTTGCATATAGGCTACATCGACAACAAAATGCCTGACAAATAATTGCCTCCACAACTTTTCAATCAAGTTGCAGCTTTCACTTTGTTGTTGTATTGAAGTACCTACAAGATCATCTCTCAGTGTTTTGTAAAATAATTTTCATTATAATAAAGTATTTCGTGTCACTGCGGTTAAAAATCTCTAAGAATTTATTCGGTTTGATTTATCTATTTATCAAAAAGCTTGTTTAAAGTTAAAACACTTTTTGAAATTTTTTCGAAATTGTTTGGTTATCAAGATTTCAAAAGTAGGATTTAAAATAAACTATTTTACATTTATTGGCAAATGCAACAAACTCTTCTTACAGTGTTGAAAATTTCAAAAACATAAGTTTAAGTTTAAATTTTCTGGCAGATTAAAGTTTTTATTTTATTTAAAAAACAAATTAAAATTAACCCCGCCTTTACCCAACAACAACAACAACCCCCCCCCCTCTTTTTCTTTTTTTTCTAACCAAGCAAACTTTTCATGTAACTTTTAACTATCAACTACAAATTGCTAAAGCTGCATGTAGCATTGAACAGGTTGAAGTATTTCCATTGGCCACTTTATGAGAAGAAAACACTTTATCCACATATGAAACCTGCAAAAGAATATAAAATTAATAATTGATTAATGAATTAAACTATCATCTATGTTTGAACCCTTCAACAATAAGAAAAATTAGAGAGATAGAAGATACTATTTCTAGTCCAATTTAGCTTATAATGTATTAAGAAAGTCGTGGAGGTCTTTTTCTTGTTAGAGTACTTTTCCACAAGTCAAGACAAGTAATTCATTTGATTTGTTTAGTCTGCTCCCAGGAATACCCAATGCTCAAGCCGGCCTAGGGATAAACAAAGTCTACTATTTTCTTATATAAGAGAAAAACAAAAAAAGATGTCATCCAATGTGAATTTATTTAAACAAATGGATTCCTCAATGTCTGTGGCTGTAGGATTTCTTTAAGTTATTAATTTCTTATTGGTGGAGCTTAGGAATATAAATCCTTGTAAAACTAGGTTTTGTCACTTAAACCTAATATATAAACATATTTTTCTCTTATTATGAGTGTGATAGCAAATCATAGGGCAATTCATTCATTGTAAATGAGAGAGGAAATGAAGTATTGCAATAATATTGACTCGGCTGGACGTAGCCCATATTCGTTGAACCAGGGTAAACCACGAGTGTTATTTTCTCTGTGTTTACTGTCTATGATTTTCTTTGCTATTATTTTGTTCTCGTTGTTGTCTCTATTTCGTTCAGATACTCCTTTGTATGTGTAGATGGTAAAATCTACAATTAATTCGAAAGGAAGAATCTTGTGAGAAGCGAGCCACTGATAATCAAATGGACCTGCAAAGACAAAGGAAAGAACGTGAAGGCTCGGGTGACATCGATGTGGTGTTTGCTGTAGGCATTCTAATGCTAAAGTTAGCACAGTTGAAGGTATTTTAGTGAGGGCTAAGAGCGAGAAGGGTTTATCATAATAATGCGGTTAGGGTAGGATTATAGTAAAGTGGCCAGAGCACAACTTTACGGAGGCTAAGGGTGGCTAAGGGTGGTAAAATTAGTCAGGACTAAGCCTTACGACGGGAGAGATGGTGATTCCTGGGAGTAAGAACGTTGAGAGATAAAGCTATGTGTTGTATTGAATGAATAATGAGAGGTTTAACCCTTGTTTATATAGTCAGCCAAAGAGGCTAGAGTCCTAGTTGAACCCTAAATCCTACTTAATATGAGAGTTCGAAATAGGAAGGAACCTTTTATCGGTTTAAAAGTACTAATTCATGTAAGATTTTGGATCTTGAATGAATTATGAAGGTGATAAATTTCTTATTCCTATTTGAGATGAATGTGGGCTAATGGACTACAGCCCAGTTTTGTTTATTCTTATAGAAAGGCCCACATCATGGTGCAACCCAAAGGGTAAGTTGGCTCAATTCGTAGGGTGGCTTTGATCATAGAAAGCCCCAACTCGTAAAGTAGCCCATCTCGTGAAAGAGTTGACTCATGGTGTGGTACAGCTGGTAGAATGGGACGACCCATAGAATAAACCTTTTTATAAAGTGGGTCATCCAATTTGATTGTCAATCTACAATACGGATTTAAGTGTAGGTCCAACCGGAATTGGACTAAGGCACTGTGTCGTATTTAGTATGCAATTCGTTATTGGACTTGACAAGGCCTAGTACATTTTTTGGCCTATACAACAAGTTTCTGCCATGCTTGGACACGTTTATTTTTTTGAAGGAACTCATCTGACGTAAAACTAGTGCAGTGGAATATCCTCAAGAATTGAACCAACATGGTTTTGGCGCTATTCACATGGCGGCAGCAAATGGCCACAACGAAACAGTCCGAGAGCTTTTGAAAGTCAATAATGAAGTTTGTAATCTCAAAGGAAAGAATGGAATGACTCCTCTTCATTGTACTTGCACCAAAGTAAGGGTTGAGACAATTAGTCATCTTCTTGCAGTTTCTTGTACCATTATTTTGGAGTTAACCGTAAGAGGTGAACAGCTCTTCATCTCGCTGTGAAAAACAACCAGTTTCAGGTTCTTGAAACTTTGTTAGAATGGTGAAAGCAAAAGAATCAACTAGAAATACTAAACTTGAAAAATGAAGAAGGAAATACTACACTCCATTACCTGCCTGTTGGAATGTGAACACTTTTTGGTAATTGATGAAGAAAAGGCAAGTAAGAAGAAAAAAAAAAATTAAGTTTTAAGAAAATTTCTATTTTAGGAATTTGTAATTGAGAATATTTGTTTTCCTTTACTTTGAGTTGTATTAGGAAAGAAGAATTGGTTTAAGATTTTATTTAGAGTTAAAATAGGAGAATGAATTAAATTAGAGAAGTCATATTAGGATTTGAAATATGAATCCTAGTATAAAAAGAATGTCCTATTCTATTTATAAACAGAGGGGTTAGAACCAATTCAAGGTGATAAGAGAAGCCACAAGAGAAGGGAGAGAATGTGAGAAACAAAAGATGTGAGAAGGTGTATTAAATACCATAGGAACCAGGTGTCTGCCAAAGTAGAAGGGTTAATGGTGTCGTATGCACTAGCATTTGTGTTCTTAAGATTATAGTGAAATGATCTCATTCGTGGATATAGGCAAGTTATGTCGAATTACGTAAAATATCGTGTGCCTGTGTGTGTTGTTATTGTTGTTCTTTATTTTATTTTTTACTTTTAACATGGTATTAGAGCTTATATTCTCAAGGGACCTATGAGAGAAGGGCCTATGGAAGATGAAACGAAAATTGCAAGGTGATGTCTGCAAGAATGTTGGCGACAGGATCAACGAGAGAAAGCCATCAAGTCACTTCAACAAGAAGATTGGAGGGCGGAAGAACAATTAAGCATGTAATGTGCTTGGTTGTTTGAAGCTTATACACTTGAAGAAAAGGGGTAGTAAGCTTGAAAGAGAGACTTGAAAAGTCATCTTCGACCGGATATAGAAGCCTATAGTCCGATGGGACTCTGAAGAAGTCCAGAAGAAAGCATGCCGAATAACATGTTTTGAACAACTAAGTTGTGAGAGATATGCATCCAAGAAGTAAGGAGGAATAAGAGAATGAAGAACAAGTTTGAAGTTCAATACCAAAAAGGTTCAAGGAGGAGTGTTGGAATGTGAACACTTTTTGGTAATTGATGAAGAAAAGGCAAGCATGAAGAAAAAAGAATTTAAGTTTTAACAAAATTTCTATTTTAGGAATTTGTAATTGAGAATATTTGTTTTCCTTTACTTTGAGTTGTATTAGGAAAGAAGAATTAGTTTAGGATTTTATTTAGAGTAAAAATAGAAGAATGAATTAAATTAGAGGAGTCATATTAGGATTTGAAATATGAATAGTATAAAAAGAATGTCCTATTCTTTTTATAAATAGAGGGGTTAGAACCAATTCAAGGTGATGAGAGAAGCCACAAGAGAAGGGAGAGAATATGAGAAATGGAAGACGTGAGAAGGTGTATTTAATACCATAAGAACAAGGTGTCCGTCAAAGTAAAAGGGTTAATGGTGTTGTACACACTAGCATTTGTGTTCTTAAGATTATAGTGAAACGAACTCATTCGTGGATGTAGGCAAGTTATGTCGAATTACGTAAAATACCGTGTGCCTTTGTGTATTGTTATTGTTGTTCTTTATTTTATATTTTACTCTTCCAATTTTTAACACTGCCGCTAGATTAAATCGCCAGGTAAGATTTTCACTCTTAATTTCATAACAATATCAACTTTCAATTCCTAAGAATTTCTTTTTCTTCAACATTTAAAATAACATTACTCATTGTTTGCACGATGTGAACAGTTGTTAGAATAATTATTGAAGTGCAACATTACAAATCTTGGGGTGTTGCAAGTAAATGCTAAGAACCAAAATGGCCTAACCATTGTTGATATGCCTAAAAGTGTTGGTGCAAAAATGTGTAGAAGAAGACCGATCACTACAGTGATTAAAATGGTTGCTACAGCGATAGGAGTTCGCTACGGTGATGAAAAGTGTCATTGCAGTGAGCGTCATGTGATGTGTGTGGTGTTGTGATCAATTTTAGGCAATCTACATGAGGAAGTTATACGATCAAATTTGTTCAGACACGCAGTTGTTTTTCAGTTGAGTTACAACTGCTAAACTAAAATAAACCGATGTTTAGTTTTATGGTTTTATCTTAACAGGTTATTCAAGTTATGTAAGTTATGAAGTCTTATCCCTTTACATGTCTATAAAAAGGGAATTAGAGTTGTATTTTATTAAGTAGATTTGTATTTTTGTTTCAGTTACTTTGAATACAAGAGTGTTTATTTCTCTGCAAATTCGAATTTGTTGTGTGTGAGTTATTTAAAAAATCAACAAATTGGTATCAGAGCTTTAAGGATCTTGAGGGATTTGTGTGAGTGTATTAAGTGTTTTTTTTTTTTTTTTTTTTTTTTTTTTTGAGTTGTAGCAATGACGTCAAATTCCGTTTCTCCAAGTGCTCCACCTGTGTTCAAAGGTGATCAATATCAATCATGGGCAAGCTGTTGATCTTTGGGAGGCTATTGAAGAAAATTATGAAATAGAGCCATTACCAAACAACCCCATT